GTTTACTGGTTGTATTTATGAGCTGTTGTTAGAATGCGGTTTCGAACAAAGAGATATTTTCTTTGGCAGAGACCTTGTTAACGTATATCCATCTATTCGCGCTGTATTTCATTTATAAATGACACTGTTTATATATCATTTGGCGGAAGGCGGTGCGTGCGAACGCTAGGGTAGGTTTGTCGTCGAAGTGGATAATTGTTGATATCGTGAATGTGTTCGAATTAATTAAATTATCGGAGATAATTTTAGATAGCTTAAGCGTTATCTTTACTTAGAGGCAACATAAAGTTTAATGGTTGTGCATGAACTCGTACGAGCACACATAAACCCGCCGCCAAGATAATTTGCTTGTCTTAATACCGACATAAATTGGACGCCGAACCATGTTCCATAGTACCACTTTACCATCGACGACAATTTCTTCGATAAAATCGGAATCGGTTATTAAAAAATATCAAACAAAAATACACGTATCACACAAATTGTATATTTGCCTTTCATTTAACCTCCTTATTTTATTTGTACACAGACACTATGAAAATAGACAGAGGTCGCAATGGGTGACGGCGAACACTGGACAGGTAACTAAACTATGTGAAGATCTGGTTATACACTGCCAAACGTAAACAAACATCGAATAACTGTCGAAAAATAGATAGGGCGTTTCTATAAATTCATGCAGACCAAAAACACGACTCGAAATTAATTTAGCGACAGTAAATTATGATCTCATGTAAACATTTATTTTCTATGGATTTATTACGTTAACACTTTTATTACACCTCGCCAAAAATGCACACTTCTGATACACCATCTCCGACATTATCGAGAACGTACAACCACCTTCCGTCTCTACTGCAAGCCATAACATCATAACATCCTCTAAAAACCAGTCCGATTCTCGTTGCAAAGTAATCTCCAAAACTGACTGAGGATTAATAGGTCTCTGCGTTGTGTAAAATTTTGACGGTTTAAAGTAATAACGTACGAAAACAAATACAGTCGACGAAAACTTTGCGTAAATTCGACTTCGGTCTCTCGCAGTGTAGAAACTGCAAAGGTAATAAAATTTACCTACAGCAACCGCAAAAAATTTGCAAAGTTATTTGTGCCGAATTGACTTTGTCTCGGAAGCCTAAAAAATATCGCACTGACTGTGCAAAAAATTTACAGATGTAGATTTGTTTTATATTTTTCATAAATCTTTTTTTTCGAGGAGAACTAGCGCTGACCGAAATGCTTTGTGGTTACTGAATCGGTGGGCAGATGCAATGATCACGTGAAAGTTGCGCGCTTCGAGATACGTGTTGTTTAACTAATATGAACGGTAGGTTCCTTATTTAGGCCTATTATTGATACATGTGTTGGGTGCTTTTTTAGATAAAAATCGCTTCTTTGAATTATGCCTTAAACTTAAAATTCGATTTTTTAACTGTGCTTTCGTATCCTAGATGTTAAAATAACAAGATGTGGTGTGTTACAAAATTACATGTTAAACGAACATTCGTTCTAGAAATTTTAAGGTAAAAATAAAGATGTGTATGGAGTTGCAAATTTTTAGTGACATTTCTGTTATGAAATAAGAACGAAAATTGAACTTTGTATTATTGACTCTCGGAGATCGACTAATGCAAATACGAAGTCGTAATAACTGTGGAATCGTGAATTACGATTGCAACATTTGTGATTAGTGGATGTATCAAAATTTGCTTCCCCAAGGTGTTACTAGGAGGTATCACGCAAACTATTTTATATGAATAATTTATTTTCTACTTAGTTAAAAGAAAAAATGCGCCTAGATTCGGTTATTCGAGTCTGCAGATCTCTGAAAAGTACCTATTTCTGCTTTCCCTCACGCAAGACGCTTAATATAACAGGTTCCATATTATGCTTGGTTCCTACAGGCAAATTTCTAATTTAGATCCATCCAAAAAACCGGGTGACAAATTTCTAAGATATCAAGAGCAAAAAACGCTAGTCAAATTACAAAATCCTTTTAATTTCGTGCGATTAAAAGCACCTCAAGGTGATCCACTCGGAAACGAATTTGAACGGAAAGCTTCAATTATGTTGACACTACACTAGTACCCATTAAATTTAATTAGATTAGTGTAAAAAGTAGTATTGGGGCCGCCATATTGCACAAACAATGAGGAAAAATAGAACTAGTTAATCGCTGCACACTTGACATTTCGGCCTTGGCAAATAACCGTTCGAGTTAGGCGGGAACAAGCTATAAAAACGATCTGAAACTATTAAGACGGAGTGACTTTGCGAACATCGCAAAGTGCTTTACTTCAAACACATTTACGGATAAAACGCCCACAATCCGACAAATTTATTAACACCAAAAAAGCGGCATCAATTAATGGCAGGTGCCAGCGCCATCTAGCGACCAGGTTACTCTTAACGGGTGTCTTATTAGAACTATGAATTTATAAATTCCTTGTAAAGGCGCGCGAACAAGGTAATTCCGAGCATGGAACATCGTCACAAATAAGAACCTGTTTATTTCACGCCAAATCTAATATCTATCAACTCAGGATGCTCAACATGTAAATGATACACGAATGTAAATGCTGGCACCCAACTACTTGAAAAATATGCCCATTAGCTGCCATAAATGCATATAATATTTACCAATTTGTCTACTTTTAGCCTTGATTTATTGACGGTTTGGGCTTTTACCTCTCCGTTCAAACGGACCTTTCACTTATCTAAGTAAATCCTCGCGAAAAAGTCTTAGGAACGCACGCCCTCACGGAGTTTTATTATTATTATTATTATTTAGTTGTGCAGGTTAGAATGTCGAAAAAAGTTTATTTTGAGAAAGAGAAATATTCGAGTACGCATTAGCCTACACATGATACTAAAGTTTGTATTTAATGTATAACAGTATATCGTACGGAAAGTTAGTCATTTCTCATGGGTACGAAATGTCGGGTGCACATTAGAGTGAACGAATTCTATTTCTAGTGGTCTCTGTGGGACGTTCGTACTATGGCTGATGATAAGAGACAAATTTAATTTTTCGGTGAAAATAAAAATTTGGAAATGAGGGCGTTATCGATCATGGAACGAATGTGCGGGGAAGTGGTGCGAGTCTTACAGTCGAACAATTCGGAGGTTGCATACGTATTCCCTTTACTAATTCGCTCAGCAATACGTTGCCTCGGTTACTCCTAATTGGAACCTTTTCGCTGTTATACGAGATACGCGTTCGGTGTGTCATATTTTGCTTATACGTCATTTTAATATTACATTCCCTCGTACCGGCACCTGTCCGGCTTGAATTTGAAACATTAGAATGAGGGTATAGAGATTTCACGTGCGATTTTTAATTGGAATTACGGCTCGCGCGATGTTCTTGCGAAACGATTACCCAAATCAGTCTATAAGTATTCCGGTGGAAATTATAGGCTATCGGAGCGGGAGCGTTTTTGTGTGGTCAGTTGAAGGTCCTTAATTGAAAAAAAGTGACACTAGTGCATTTTGTTGCTTAAGTAGACGCCAGAAGTGTATAACAATTGTGCAGCATCATGGGAAGGTGCAAAGGCACAAAGATCTCTCCTAATCAAGGGGATGACCGAGCTGATTCTTTTGTCGGGTTCGTTGTCATTTGACGGCCTTTGAAAAGTAACACAGCCGGCTGTCGCTCTTAAACTTAAATTACTAAAATTGATATAGACCTCAACAAAATTACCAACAAGTCACACTGCTACAGACCGCCTAATTGCGTCTCGCCATTAATTGCCCATTTACATAAAAATACGGTTCTTCACCAAGAGGTATTTTATTGCACGTAATTAGGTTTAATTGCTAACCAGCGCCGTCAAGACAGGAAAAGATGAAACCTCCCAAAAGCCATCGCCCTGGGAAAATTTTTGACGCGACCCCGCACGCTCGACGAACAAAACTACCTTATTGACATATCGCCAAGCGAAGACTACGCGGACCAATAGAAGCACGTCTGCTTTTTTGCAAACGGACGAACAGGAGAGAATGGTTTAATGATAGGTATCTTGTATTATGTTGCATTGGAGTGCGAGTTTGTGTGCGCCAAAGAAATGTGAACGTTAGCTGTTTGCGTGTCGAGTCGAGTAGGTGACATGAAAAGAGGTTGGCATTTATGGAAAGGAAATTGCTGGTTGTCGCGCGCCTGTTAACCATTGCATAACACGTACCTACATGTCAGCTATCCGTCGTCTTCGCGACGTGGACGTCCAAACCTAAAACTAATGGAATTCTTTATATCCAATATCCGATCTAATGTTCCATTATAAATATATCATGCAGTTGCGTCATCGAAACACGTTTTTGCCTTTTTGACATTTCTACACCCGACAAATTACCGCAACAACAACGAGCGTACACCAAACAATCGAGGGACTACGTTTTAGGAAAAATACTCGCTAAATTATCCAAACATTAAAGAACGACTTGGAACGATAAATCGTTAAATTGACGAGATACCTACATGAAACAGAGCTTTTTCAGTTCAACCGCCAGTTTCTCCAACCGTACGAAGGAACAGCATGGGCAAGTGGTTGTCTTTCCATTGCTGACCTTATGATGAATCAACTTGAGGAGGATTTACCAGACAATTCTGAATATTTTTGTCATTTTTTTGTCTAAATCATTAAAGATGCAACGATCTAACAATCTTGAAACACGTGTTGAATCGAACATCAGTAGATACTAGTAAGTCCCAAAGGTTTCTCGACAAACCAAAGTCTGAAGTCGGAATTTATGAAAGTACTTATAAACGTAAACGTAAACACTGTTTGTTTAAATTTAACAATTGTAACTTTCTAATAGATGTTTTTGGATGTCTAGAAATGTCACATGGATCGTTTGCCACATACTTGGTACCGCTTTGCTCCTTTGCATGCTAGAAATCACTTGAAAAGTCAGCATTCACACTAAAAATGTCTTACTCTCTACGTCAATGACGCTGAAATGAACTCGGGAGGATGCTAACCCGTTCGTTTTTTACTTACCATGCAAGAAAGGGGCGCTTGGAGGATACAGGAATCTTGTTTTTCTGTCGTCGAAGAAATGTCTAATTTTTTGAATTCAGCGGCTGCGTCCTTGGCCATAACTGTCAATAGTGACAATTCTGGTGGCACAAACCATGGCGGCGGGTAGCCCCACTGCAACAATTGCGTAGTTTTAGGTCGCGTAGATAAGGCGCGCTTTAGAGCTAAGAACTGCTAAATCTCATCTGGAAAAATTATTTTTGTACTTCACTAATGGAAGCACTCGACACATTATCAAAATTATTTTAGTGACACAGCCAGTACACGTGCTCGATTGTGGGTGTAAAAATACATGGTTTTAGTTACGGCCAACATACTTCATAATTGACGCCAGTCAGTAAACATTAGCCATGTGACAGAAGACAAGACATCGAAAATACGCAAGAATTCGCTGACTGATTCACGACTACATAAAACACATTTGCTTCCAGACATATTACCATAAATCAAGTCGCATTCGTGAATAAAATTGATTGCGGCCACAAAAAATCTCGAGTTGTATTTATGTTGATTCAATAATGAGTGCGACTGTCATTCGGGCATCCGGCCTATAGTATTAATGCCGTTCGAGGGCCCTATTATACATCGAAAGCGGGGCGAATTAGAAAAGAATCGATTAAGTAGTAAAAAGCAAATAGATTTTTCGTAAACTGGCTCAGAGTAACAATGGGAGACAATAAAAGTGATATTTTTACAAGCATAAATATAATAGGCCCCCTTTCGTCGAGGACGTAATACGGGGGTTGGTACATAATTACTAAACCCCTCAAACCAAAAGGGTTAATAGAGACCGTAGGGTGGGAACCGCGCCATATTTGATCAATAATTGAGTTAAACAACTGATGAAGGATGTACTTGTATTTGGCCCTCTCCCGACCGGTCAAACCGACCGTTTTTAGATGATGGTCTTCGATCATTCTCGATCAGCTATTACGAGATATTAAGCGCTAACCGAACGCCAAAATCGAAACCGTATCGAAACGTCTTTTCCGTGCGAATGAGTCTTTATCATCCGCACGCGTCTCGTTACACGCCGTTGCTATTTAATCAAAATAATAGACTCGGAAGGGTTGAAAAACTTCGCGATCGATATCTAAATCTGATGCATCTCGTCTACTAAAAAACAACAACAAAAAAAAATGCAACCATCGTTCACATTAGAAAGGAGATCATCGGGTGCGACGCCGCATCATTCTTTCTTCACTTACCGATCGATGTATGTAGGAAAAGTGCGCGCGGTAGACCGTGGCGACATCTAGGGAATTTTGCACGACACCGCATACCTCTCAAATAGACTTGAACAATAAACAAAGACTTTCCGGAATATGTTCCAGAACCAATTTAAATAGACCCGAATATCGTACCGCGTCGACCATAATTATTCAAACAAGTCTTATGCTTTGTAAATAGATAAACATCAATCGAGAAATTAAAATACTTTCGTCGACCACGAAATATAGGAAAAAGGCAATGAGCAAATCCGCAAATCATCGAGCGGAACTTATTGCAGAAGCGGTATCCACTTTTAACTAGAGGAAAAGTTGGCTCGTTACATATTCCATATTCTGACTTTAATTAACGCGGTTGTCACGTGATGTTGACAGTTGTGTCCTTATTGTGCGTGAATCTGACGATGTAACGCATTAAAAATTGATCGATTTATGTTTGAACAGTAATTATAACGAGCGAACAGCAGTGGTTTTATTTGCTCATTTGAGTATTTCCCCGGGTTGCAAAAGAAGGGGAGGGGTTATATGACAAAATTGTCATTTTATCATTAAGCTTCATCGGTTCTAATCTAAGTACGTACTGTAACATCTATTACGGCTACGCCCCGCCCACATTAAGCTACGTCCACATTAATGTGTCCTGCTGATAAAGATCTCCGTCCATTAGACCACAAATGCCTATTTTGTTAATGTAGGGATCGTTGATAAATCGAAGAGTCGAATAGCCGATTTCGCACGCAATTCCCTCAATACGTCACCATCGTTATTATTATTATCTCTAAGCCTCTGCAGCATATTTATGCCATCATTACCAGTGCAGTTAGAAAATTAATCAACTAATGTGGCCATTCTTTCACGTCAAACGACGACCAGAAATTTATTGTAAAGCAACTAAACGAACAATTTTAGGTGTATTTTATGTAAATCACTAGGGTGCAACTGTTCGTATGTAAATTTGTTTTAGGATGATTTGAAAAAGACCAGTGGCGCCTGCAAATGGTTTTCACTTATAGCTTTTGGTACTTTGTTTTCTTTTCTTCTTAGCGAGTAGCGATTGTTTCTTGATACCTGTTTTTCTCGTCGTTTTCAAAGTCCGCTGCGTGCATTGTTGACTTGTTTATAAACCGATTACCCCAAAACAACCCTTATCATTATCATTAAGTTGCTAATTTGCGGTTCGACGACCTTTCGTTCGAATCGCAATTTTTTAAACCTCAAAAGCGCCTCGTTTTTTTGCATTACGTAACGCCCACTTAACGAACAATGCAAGACGCAAGGTGTCGTACTAAATATATTTATTTAGGGAGATTTTGGTCAATAGGAGGCACGGTTTAATAGGTTTTACCTGGTTTTTCAGGACCTATTGAATTTTTTTACGCTTTGCTTAATCTAACTCAGGTACGCCGAACTGAAAATCAACATAGCGGGGGAAGATAATTCCATAAATGTTTAAGGGGCGCAAAATTTGAAAACACATCACAATAGACACCGCCAACGAAACCGTAACAAAACTGTTTCTGATGTTCGGAGAAATACATCAAGAACGCTAGCCCTAAAATAATGTCCAGTGGTACCCTCGATCATATTGTTCCAACAACAACCAAACTGCGTTCGATTACCAACGTCTTTCTTTTTTTATGCATTCTCAATCAAATGAGTGTCAAAAAGTGGTACTTGGCGTAGTTATACAGGGTTATTATAAATGTTTCTTACATTGTACGTGGTTTAAAAAAGTTTCGGTCTATCTATTTGCCCATTTCCGCTTTTGTTTAAGCAACTAAGACCAAAAAACATTTTTAATAGCCCTGTTGTACTATAAATATATCTTTAAAAATATATATTTCAAAAACAGCGTGTCTTTAAGAAACACCTAAATTTAAAAATAAATATCTTCTAATTTACAAATAGAAAAATGTGGCACCTGCAAATATTAACACTACCGTATATATAGGTACGTAAGCAAAAAGTTTTTACGAAAATTATACGTATCTCCAACGAATTTGCTGGAATATCGTATTTTCCTGGTATTTTTATCGTTCTGTTTTCGATGTCCATAATAACATGGTTCAGATTATATACATTTTTAGATTTCGATTACCGTGACTATTAAGTTGCAGATGAGCTAGGACGGTTTTGCTGCCCTCGACTACGCCTCGTTCGAAATTTTCTGTTTATGTGGGTTCCGAAACTGTGCGTCACTTTTTGTTTCCGTAAGATTACATTTGTTGTCTTTTTTTCTCGCATAGTTTGCGTTCGTCGAGTCAACAAACAAATAAGCAGAAACAAGTTCAAGTTTAAACTTTCTCTCAAACACCCTACACGAGGATTAAATGAAATATCAAACGTATTTGCATAATCACAACAAAGTGTTGTGTTCGTTCATTCATGGTGTTGCAGTTGATTTAATTCAAAGGTCGATGCGTCCGATAATAAAATGACACAGAACGAGCAGGCTTAGGAATGTCGCGAAAGAAAATTCAAAGTAATTAAAGGAAGAGACGTTTTCAAACCGGTTGAGTTAAAACTGTTCAGAATTAATTGCATTGAAGTAATGCAAGTTAAATAACAGAATGTCAACAGCTATTAATTATAATATTTATAGATCGGTACATAATTCATTATATTGAACTGTTTATCGTGACGATAACCGCGCGGCGGCAAAAATGCTCTTTTTAAGTACGATTTTTCGAAAGGATTCCACATGGCAATTTGATGTGGCTGAAGTTTTTGAAACATGTCAAACGTCCATATTAATCTACCAAGGTCGTTCGATAACAACGTGTCATAGTAATTACAGATTAATGGCATAACTGCGGCACGTAAAGAGGCTTTTGGTGAAACTAAGAAGGAAAAAAAAATGACGTATTATTATTATTACCAGTCATCGTGATTTGTGTTTATAAATAACAGTCGCATAAACTCCGTAGGAGCCAGATATCTGAATTAACGCATACATCGGACACGGTTTAATCGATTTGGACCAAATAAAATGCAAATAAATCTATTTTCTATTTCTATGATCTGTTCTAAATCACTCAACATTAAAAGAGATCCCCAATGATTGATTGATATAAGTTCTCGACATTTCCACTTGAATCCATTGCACATTTCTGGCTAGTGTTCGCTTGAAGTGTTCAAAAATCTGAAGGTAACACGATAAATCATAAAATTACTTAAGGAAATGTTCCATTATTTATATTGTACGTGTATATTTTTTCAGTCGACTTAGTATGCGGCCATTTATTACTGTCAATGCGACTGATTAGAAGCCGGTTAAAAAAGTTATTTTAGCCCATTTTAACTCCGAAACGACTTACTCATTCTCGCTCGCCAGCCCAACTTGTTCTCGACTGTTCCAGCTTGCGTACGTATTTAGCATAGGGTGTGTTATATTTAAATAACTACAACGTTTTGGTAGTCGATGGAAGTGCCCATTGTTATACCACAAGAGCTACCTTAAAATGGTACAATCAAGTTTATTTAATACGTTGTGACGCAGTCTCTATTCAATACTTGTCATCATTCGAGTGATACTACATGAATAATTACTTCTGTGGCCACCTATAAAATCTCCGACTACCAGGCAAGACCACCAACCAAAATTAACCATTTTCCGACAACTCGGCAAAAATGCTTCAACGAAAATCGACTATTATGCCAACACCCACTGTATATATTAGGTATCCTATTGTGTGGAGCTTATTAATTCTCAACAAGCGTTTGACTAGTTTCGGCATGCTCATTAATATACTTTACAATTATTAATACAAATTAGCACCATTTGTGTTTGTATTACATCATGGCAACACTTGTATCGGTCTTGTTAGATGTGTCCACTATAAATTTTATTTACTCACCTAGTGTAGATGATTTACGTCGTGGATT